GGGGCCAGAATCCCATCCTGAGCTGGTAGAGAGGCCATGGTAGCAGCGGTTTTCCCTGGATATAGACCCTAGGGGCAGGTTATCTCCAGCAGGACCCCTCCAGCTAGGGTTGAATCACTGCCTTGTCTTTCAGGGAAGCATTTCCTGGGTAGTCCTTCTGCAGGTTCTGTTATCAACCATCTCCCTGGGGAGCCCGAGCCCTAGGGCTCCAGAGGAGGATCAGCTCCTTCCTTGTGCAAACTTTTTAACTCTCTCTGTTCCCACAGGGCTGAGCTAGCCCCTAAGGCACCTGTGCACTAGTTGGGAAAAGATGCCTCCCTCCAGCCATATGCATAGCAGAAGGGACAGGACATGACCACTCAGCTGGGTACCTTTGTGCAGTGAGCAATCTGCACAACCATACTCAGTGAACCTAGCAGCCCCAGCTCCCCACAAACCTGCCTGAAAAGGGGCTCAGAGAAGGCAAGGCATGAACCTGAGAGTAATCAGCCTACAGGGACCAAAGCTGGGATGGCACCCTGCAATGTCCATTGGCCTGGCTCAGCTTAGGGGATAGGAGTAGGGGGAAAGCAAAGAAGTGGAAGGGTAAATGGACCCCCCTTGGTTTGGAGGGCATGGTCTGCATCCTGACAGCCACTCACCCCCAACACTAGCCAGAGGCTAGGCTTGGACTCCCTGTAAAGTCTCTGAATGGGAAAGGGTCTCTCACTCTGAACCTCAATCTTCTCCTACAGATAATAGGATAATAGCAGTTCCTACCCTGGCCCCAAGAGCGCTCTACCAGTCTCATTATTACGATAATTATTGTTCATTTGAGCTGGGCAGCTGGTGTCATCACAGCCAGTGCCCAGCCAGGGCGGTCTGGGAGTGAGCACAGAACCACACTGCTCTCCATGCACATACGCACACACTCTGGCAGAGGGAAGACCCCAACCCTGCCTCTCATCAGCTGTGTGGCCTTGAGCAAATCACATCACCTCTCTGAGCCTTGATTTCCTCATTTGTAAAAGGTAGAGACTCATAACTGTTACCTCACAGGGGTAAGTGTATCTCACTGAAGCCCTCTGCAGGTACCAGGGACAAGTCAAGAAATGCTTGCTGACGTGGCTACCAAGTGCTTACCTTCTACCAGGCACACCCTGCCCAGCCAAGCCTGAACTAAAGTATGCATTATAACCCCCATTTGAGGATGAGAAAACTGAGTCCATAGATGCTACATTGCTTGGATTAAAAATAAGACAACAGGCCCAAAATGGAGTCACTTATGCTCAGCCCCACATCACCAAACCAAGACTTAATTACAATTTCAGCTCTCCTGGGAATAGTATCTTGAACCAGTCAATCAGGAATGGCCTGACCAGCACTAGTGGGATCATCTGCCTGATAGATCCCTGCCATCCCCTAAAGAAAAGCGACCTTGCAGAAACCAACCCTCTTTTTCACATAAGTTCTTTTCTTTGTGTCTGCTCCATTCTGGCTATAAAAGTCTTTCATTTTGCACAGCTCCTTGGAGCTCCTTTCTAGCTGCTGGATTGGATGCTGCCCAATTCATAAATCATTGAATAAACCCAATAAGATCTTTAAAATCTACTCAGTTGAATTTTGGTTTTTAACACTTGTTAAGTGTCAAAGCTCATGCTCTTTCATGACATCCATGCCCCAACCCTGCGCCCTCCTGTGGGATGGCCCTGGAGCTCAGGTTACCGACGCAATCATGCAATGGATCTTCTAGGGTGGATTTGCCTCATTCCAGGAGCCTGGGCTGGCCACAGGGAGGGGGGTCACATGGATCTGGAGCTGGGGAGCCCAGAGCAGCCCTCGAAAGCTGTGTGGGGAATGCGGGCTGGGCTGGGGGGCCCTGAATAATTCACTTCTCCCCTCTGAGTAGCTTCACTGGTAGACAGGAGTGGATCCTCACAGGCTGCTCTGTATATAGTTGTTGAAAAGGCCCAGAGCAGCCACCTTTGCCTGCACAAGTGCTGTGGGGCTATCAGTACCCTCCCCCAGCCCAGGAGGCTCTTGGAAATGGCCAAGGGGTCTCTGGAAAGAAAGCCTGAGTTTGTGGGGATAAGGTAGAAGAATTCTAACAATAGCCTATATGTGCTGGGTGCAGGATGTTGTGATAATCCTCAACACAGTCGAGATGATAAGTAGCCCTATCTTAGGCAGGAGGAAAGTGAGGTTCAGACCAGTAAGGAGAGGTGCCCAGGTCCCAAACCTGGAGCTCGGATTGGAACCTCCCTAGTGGGACATACTTGAGGAGCAGATGTGAGTCTCTGGGTGTGTTTCTTGGGGTGAATTTGTGGTTGTCAGCCAGATCTCTTGAGGTCTGCATATTTGAGTGGGTGCACCTGGGGATAAGGATGTGTGTCTTGGAGAGATTGTGGGTGTAACTGTGGGTGTCCAGCTGACCTGGATGTGGATGGGCAGGGCAGATGTTGCAGACACCCCACTTCTTTTCCCACTGGAACTCCCAGCCTGACCACCCCCTTCCCTCTTGGCTCCCTGCAGGGCAGGGGGTATTTCAAGGAACTGGGACTGCTCTTGTGGGGGTATCTTACCCAGTGGTCACTACTCTTGTAGGAGCCAGGAGAGGTGAGGAGGGGACCACCCACAGACCTACAGGTTTGCCTGCCGAAGGTGCCATTCTGGGAGAGCTCCCCGCCATAGGGCAAAGGGCTGGTGGGTGGACAGCCGCTGCAGTGTGTGCTGGGGAGCTCAGGACTCCATCCAAGGGCAGAGCTCCAGACTGTGTGCCCCAGCCACTCTCCTGGCCACCCCACCCCCAATGGCAAGCCCGGGTACCAGTCTCTGCCGGCTCCAGCTCTCCCCTCCCCCCTCTTCCATCTCTTTTCCATTATGGGTCTCTCTTTCCCCTACCCTCTGCCCTGTCTTGTCTTTCCCACGGCCCTAGGTCTGTGACCTTCTCTGAGGATCTCTGGTCTTCTATTTGACTTCGTGTGTCTCTGAAGGTCCCCTGTCTCTCTCTCCCTGGCCCTACGGCGCCCTACCTCTGGCCGTGTAGGGCCGCCACGCCCCCAGGACCCCTGGACGACTCGG